CTAAATATAAAAATAGGAGAGAGAATATACAAAATACAAAAATACGAGAGAATTTAGAGTGTATTTTAAAAATTAATTTACGAATGTATAGAACAAAAAAAAAAACGAGTTGAAAATAATATTTCGTGAAGGGAAAATGAGAACGAATAAATTAGCGAACAGGAGGACATTAATTGCAAAAATTATGGAATAAATCTTGACGCTGATTAGGTGTGTAAGTGTGGTGTAAAAGGTATTATAAAGGATCTTTAAAAGGGCATTCGTTAAGGCATTGTTTTATAAAGGAGAATGAAAGAGCCGTTAAGGAGTGTTAATTTTTCATCTTTCTCTTTTTTCTTCCTGTTTCTTTTTTTCTTTTTCTTTTTTTTTTGCCAGAACAAAACGTATGCAACTGAGATAACTATGCAAGTGCTAGATATATAATATCCTCCCGCGTGCCTCATTAGCTCGTTGCTTGGTAAACATTGACTGTTTTTAATGGCGGCACGCACTCTTTCTCTCTTTCTCTTTTTCTCATGCTCGCGTTTTCATACACCTCGTGCGCGCCACTATCTTTTGCTCCTCCTTCTCCTCCTCCTTCTTCAATACTCTTCTTTCTTTCTTTCTTCACCCTCTTCCGACAAAACTATAACCCTCTTTTACGAACAAAAATACCACAAAAAAAAATCCAAGATCTTATGAAAATATTTAAATGATGCACGTGCCAAAATATTGTCCACGTGGGCATTTATCAGTAAAATAATAATAAACTAAAATAAAATTAATATTTTTGCTAGGATCATGAAATTTTTATAAACCTTCCGAAAAATGTTGACCCCTAAAATACGTTATAAGAGAGAAAGAGTTAGAGTTTAAAACTTGGAGTATTTCCGCTTGTACTCTGTGAAATAAGAGCGCATGAATGGTGAAGAAAGGAATAACTATAAAACGTTTCTTATCAATTTTAACGTTTACTATACACACATTGCATACACTATATTATTATTCTCATTGAGAAAGAAGTTTTTTTTCTTTTTCTTCAAACTAAGGCGAACTTTGAAATATTTCACTGAGACAGCGAAGTTAAAAAAGAAAAGTGTAGATGCGAAAAGTAACTATACTTTTAATTGCCCTTTAATTTTATTTCGATTTATGAAATTAATTTCTTTGAAGTAATTTATACCCTTCAGGGAATACTATAAACACTACTACTAAAGCTGGTGTCAAAAAAAAAAAAACAGGGTTGCCACAAAAAATTAATTTTTCCCTTAATTTTGTCCCTGACTTTTCCCTGATTCCCAGACAAAATTTTCCCTTTCTCCCTTTTTAAAGAATATTTTGATTCACAAAATTATTAGACACTAAAAAAATGTTCTATTACATCTATATTTACGAATTTCTTTAATTGTAAAATTATTCGAAAACATCAATAACTTCTTTTTTAAATTAATACTTAATTATTATTTTCCCATAGGAATTAAGATTTTTTAAAAAATTTAAATTTAAATTTTAAACCTTTTGAAATTCAATAACTTTTAAGAATATTTTCATAATACATGAAGATAGCGAGCACTTCGAGTCAAAGACTCGGATTAATTTCCATAAAATTTAAAATAAAGAAAAAAATTTATTTATTTACGAAAATTTTAATAAAATCCTTCGCAAGAAGAAGAAGAAGAAGTAGTACAATTTTTCACATCAATTAAATTATTTAAAAAATAAAATTCGTTATAAGAATTCAATTATTATCATAAATAATAAAATTTTTCCTTGGATTTAAATTATTTTTAAAACAATTTTAAAAGAATTCATCGAAAAATGTAATTATTTTCAAACATTTTTTGCAAGAAATCAATTACATTTGACAGATAATGAAAATTTTTGCTGAAGTTCAAATATTTTCAAAATCTACTATTTTAACGAAAATTCTCAAAAGAATTCAATTATTTAAAAAAAGAAAATGTAATAAAATTCGTTGTAAGAATTCAATTATTTTTACAAATAATAATTTTACGAAATTTTCATTATTCAGAAATTCTTCAACTAAATATATTTAGAAAATAAAAGCTTGAAATAATTTTTAAAAAAAATTCATTTAAACATTTTCAAAATACAATTATTTGTAAAAATTCACGCTATAAAACTTTTAATATTCAATTATTATCTAAAATTTTATAGTTAAAATTTATTTTTAATACAATTTTTATTTGGAAATTTTACGAGAATTCAATTATTGAAATACAAAAATGAAAAAAAAATTACTGAATAAATGATTGCGTTTCTTAAAATTGAATTCTCATGAAGAATTTTATTATCAAATTTTTTAAATAATTGAATTTTTTCGACGAACTTTAATAAAATTTTTAAGGAATAATTATACATTTTTCGAGGAATTCAGTTAAGATTGTATTAAAAATAATTGAAATTCTGTGCGATGAGTTTTTTTATTCATGAAAATAATTGAATCTCTGTAAAAAATTTTTATTGTTTATAAAAATAATTGAATTATTGCGCGACGAAATTTTTAAAAAAATTTGTAAATAGTTGAATTTCTGTGGAATTTTTATTATTCGTGGAAAATAATTTAATTTCTGTGAAATTTTTATTATTTATGCGGAAAATAATTTAATTTCTCCGAAAATTTTTATTATTTATGAAAAATAATTGAATTTTGGAGAAGAATTTTATTATTTATGGAAAATAATTGAATTTCGGAGAAGAATTTTATTATTTTTAAAGATAATTGAAATTTTGATGAGAATTTAAAAAAAAATTTTTAACATAATTTAATTTTTGCAAACATTTGTAAATTCTCTAAAATTCAATTTTTTTATTGTTTTTAACTATAAAAAATTCTTCTATAAATTCATGTTGGTTAATAATTAATTAAATATTTATAAGAGAATTATATAAAACTAATTATGAATACTGCAAATTAAATTTTTTCCAGTACTTTTAATAAATATCCTTGAGTTTCCTTTGATTTCCCTGACCAATTATATTTTCATGATTTATAATAATTTATTAAATATTTATTAAAAAATTAAATAAAACTAATTATGAATATTGGAAATTTAATTTTTTCCAGAACTTTAATAAAAATCCCTGACTTTTCCCTGACCAATTCTATTTTTTCTGACTTTTCCCTGACCTGTGTCAACTCTATGAAAAAAGTCATGAACACCGTAGGCCAGTACTTTTATCAGCAAACCTCTAATAATAGGACAGTACGTCTAATTTCCGTTTCCGACTAAAAATATCATAAAGATCATAAAAATACAAAAGATATTCTTAAATAGCGTGCGTTTCTTTTTAGCTTAATCAAATGGACGCGAAGGAAAAGGAGTGACTTAATTTTCCATTGAACCCTAATGGCCAGGCAATTAATCGACGCGTGGCTAATCGACAACTCGATGGATATATATATATATATGTTTATCATCGACCTCTTGTGTTAGTGTGTATGTGCGAAGTTAAGCGATATCAGTTAGACAGGGCGTTAGTGACAGCGTCACCTTTCGCGATTCCATGTCTATACACACGACTTAATACCCGACGCGTCTTCGTTTTCCGACTTTTTTTTCACCCTGCTTGACAAAAGAAGTTGACTGCGATTAAAAAGCTTTCAGGAGTGCCCTTCCCGTCGTTAGAAAACTTGTTTACCCTGTCTATGTGAAAGATTGTGTGTAACCGTTTTTTCTTTCAAAGAGTGCGTGCACCAAACGCTTTCATATTTATATAGAAAACAAAACTTATCAATGTATTTATAAAATTTATAAAAAAATATAAAAGCGCGTCTTGTAATTCTTTCTCCCTCTTTCAATAAATAAAAGACGCGCTTTTATACATATACACATGTATATTTTTTATAAATACACCTATAAAAGCACGTAAGAAAAAGAGAGAAGGATTACAGACTCCAACTGCAGGTTCATTAGGATCGTTAAAAGTATTATTACTCAATAAGAAGACAACTGCTACTATTATTGAAACTCAAAGAGCAATTCCTTTTTCTTTCATTACAAAAAAAAAAAATCAAAAAACTAAATGAAAAGACACTTTTTATATTACCCGATAACTAATTTTATTATTTTTATTATAATTTTTTCTGTTTTTATTGTCTCGTCTTTAAATACAAGTTCTTCAAGACAGTCATTATATATATATACCTTTCAAGAAGAGTATATATTGATTCCTTTTATAATAATTATACTTGTTAATAGCGGAAACTCTTGTTAATCATATAATAAAAAGAAGAAGAAGAAAAAAAAAGAAAAAAACTTGAAAGTAAATATTAATATTTAAAAGTATCACTAGCGGTAATATTACGAAAAAAAGTGACAAGAAGAAGAAGAATAAAGACAATGAATAAGTTTTAAATAATGAAAACTATTTTGAAATTCAAACTTTTAGTTTACTTGAGCTGAGTTAGTTTCACTCCTTGGGCGTATATAGAGTTAATAAATATTTTAGATTTCGCCTTATGTCCGCATGCTGTATGAATTTTACACTTTGGAACTTGAATGATTTAGAGAAAGAAGTGTTTTTTTTTTATTTCTAATTGAAAGCTAAAAATAAAACGAAAATTATTTTCTTTTACATATTCTATATAGAATAACGAAATTTTTGGAACGAAACAAGAATCGAAAGAGATATTTATATCGATACAGGAAATATTATAAGGACGAAAAGCAGGGTGAAGCCACACTGATTCGTATGATGACCTGACACCGGATGACACTGACCACAAGAGCTCGCGATAATATTGTCCAAAGTGTAAAAAATTGTACATCGACTTTTTTCCATTTTTCAGTATTAATCAAAATCTCGATAAAAATAAACGTTTAAAAAATATTTCTTTTCGTTCCAAAAAGAAAGTTTCATCAAATTAATTCGGAAGAAGTAAAAAACCAATTTGTTGCTAATTTTTAAGTATACCCAATTGAAAATAAAAACAGTAAATTTGCACAAGCAGTGAAAAAAAAGATGATTTTATCTTTCACGGTAAAGTGTACTACGTGATGGCAAAAGCAGCAATTACGCAATTGCTGGTAACAAAGTCAAAGTGTAACTTTAATATTCTCTTGTTTTTCTTCCCCTCCTTCATTTTACAATAATAATTCTAGAGAAAGAAATTAGAATGAGTGGTTATAAAAATTATTGTAAATAAAAAAAAAAAGAAGTGAAAAGTAAACATGCAAAAATCAGAAAAATCGGTGCATGTCGCTTATATACTATATGGATTATACAATCGACTTGCGGCAAAATTAAAAGAAAAATAAAATTATTGCATAGATTATGGCACGGGGATGGTTCGTGGTAGAACCTGATCGATAGAGCTTACTCTTTAATTTCTACCCTTTTTTTTTTAATGCCCCAGTTGCCACTGGCATTATTAGAATTATTCTACCTGCACTCGTCTTCGTTTTTTTAATTGGAAGAATTATTTCTTTCTTGGATTTCTAATTCAAAGGAAAAAAAATAAATAAATATAAAAATAATTTTTATTTAAAGTGTATTTATTTTAATGAATTTATATGTTCACGAGTAATTATTTCTTTATCAGAAAACATATCCAAAATATTGCATCGCTATTTTTATATTGTCTTAATACAGTTTACTTGAAAGTTGGAAATTGATACCAAATTGAATCAAATTGATACCAAATTGAAACCAAATTGAGTTAAATTGAAACCAAATTGATACTAAATTGAGTCAAATTGAAACCAAATTTAAACCAAATTGAGTCAAATTGATACCAGATTGAAACCAAATTGATACCAAATTGAAACCAAATTAAGTCAAATTGAAACCAAACTGAAACCAAATTGAAATCAAACTGAAACCAAATTGAGTCAAATTGATACCAAATTGAAACCAAATTGATACTAAATTGGGTCAAATTGAAACCAAATTGATACTAAATTGAGTCAAATTGAAACCAAATTGAAACCAAATTGAGTCAAATTGATACCAGATTGAAACCAAATTGATACCAAATTGAAACCAAATTAAGTCAAATTGAAACCAAACTGAAACCAAATTGAAACCAAATTGAAATCAAACTGAAACCAAATTGAGTCAAATTGATACCAAATTAAGTCAAATTGAAACCAAGTTGAGTCAAATTGATACCAGATTGAAACCAAATTGATACCAAATTGAAACCAAATTAAGTCAAATTGAAACCAAACTGAAACCAAATTGAAATCAAACTGAAACCAAATTGAGTCAAATTGATACCAAATTGAAACCAAATTGATACTAAATTGAGTCAAATTGAAACCAAATTGATACTAAATTGAGTCAAATTGAAACCAAATTTAAACCAAATTGAGTCAAATTGATACCAGATTGAAACCAAATTGATACCAGATTGAAACCAAATTAAGTCAAATTGAAACCAAATTAAGTCAAATTAAGTCAAATTGAAACCAAACTGAAACCAAATTAAAACCAAATTGAAATCAAACGGAAACCAAATTGAGTCAAATTGATACCAAATTGAGTCAAATTGAAACCAAATTTATACCCAAAAATTTGGCTCAATTTTTGATTTGATGCACATTCTTGTTATCAATTCGTTGCAATTCGATACTTTCGAGTCAATATAGTAAATTCGATATCCTAAAAAAACTCTGATATTCGAAAAGTGGAGAAAAGAAAATAAATTTATTTTTTCGAAAGTTCTTCCTAAGAACTGATTCTTTTTCCAAAAAAATTCCTTTGTGACGCAGAACAAAAGTGTCAAATAAGTATAAATATTCGAAAATGAAGAGGAAGAAGAAAGAATAGAATATTATTACTATTATTATTCCCAGATCATAGGGCCATCTATTAAATGGAATGCGAAAGCGCGGCTAATTAAAATCAGTATAATGACCCGCTGAATCGATTACATGAAGCGCAGGCCTTTTGTGCCAAGATCGGCCACTGGTGACAAGGCTTTATGTCCCGTTTAACGACTCATACATCTTTTATTGTAGCTGTGCCCGCTTGCGATGCGGGCTCATTGTCTGGCGGAATTATTACTAATTGGTATTCGTCCTTCGGTTAATCGCGCGCGCACATATTGGCGTTCGTCGTTTTCTCTCTATATAATAATATAATATAATATAATTCTCCCATGACAATTCGATATTCTTTCCCTCAAAAAATATACAGTCGCACAGATGCGCCGTATGTTCATTATATACATATATTTATGATGAATTGTTCATTTCTGTTCATTCAACGCTCCTTAAATCGTATTTGGTAATCTCCAACTTGGCCCCGTCGAGCTTCTGGTGGAAAATTTCAACTTGGGGTAAATTTAAATACACTGGAACCTTTGTTATTGGGACAGATTTATTGTCTCGATAATCGAGGTTCTAGTGTATTTCAAAAGTAGTCTTCTACTGCTAATGCTACTACTAGTAGCAGTAATAGAAGTAGAAGTAGTAATAGTAATAACAGTAGTAATAGTGGTAGCAGTAATAGTAGTAGGAGTAGTAATAGTGGTAGTACTAGTAGCAGTAGTAGTAGTAGTGACAGTAATAGTGGTAGCAGTAAGAATAGTAGTAGTGCTAGCAGCAGTAATAGTAGTAGCAGTATTAACAGTAGTGTTAATAGTAATAGTAGTAGTACTAGTAGCAGTAATAGTAGTAGCAGTATTAACAGTAGTATTAATAGTAGTAATAGTAGTAGTACTAGTAGCAGTAGTATTACTAGAAGCAGTACTACTAGTAGTACTAGTAGTACTAGTAGCAGTAGAAGTAGTAATAGTAATAACAGTAGTAATAGTGGTAGCAGTAATAGTAGTAGGAGTAGTAATAGTGGTAGTACTAGTAGCAGTAGTAGAAGTAGTGACAGTAATAGTGGTAGCAGTAAGAATAGTAGTAGTGCTAGCAGCAGTAATAGTAGTAGCAGTATTAACAGTAGTATTAATAGTAATAGTAGTAGTACTAGTAGCAGTAATAGTAGTAGCAGTATTAACAGTAGTATTAATAGTAGTAATAGTAGTAGTACTAGTAGCAGTAATAGTAGTAGCAGTAAAAAATTAACCGAAAAAAGTCCTCAAGCAACAAGCAAAATATTTTGACATCGTAAAGAGCAAAAAAGAAAACAAAGTACAAAGATGTTTTTCGTGAGCAATGGTGTGAAAAATTCGTGTGTTAGAGAGGCAATGAGTTTTAATAGAGCGATGTACTCACAGTGCATAGATACGAGTTGGATAGGCGGAAATTCAATTATTCATGTACTCTATTATCCGACACGCATGCATGCAGTCAGGGAGTAGTTATAGTTACTGCATGCAACTACATATATATACAGATGTACACACATATATATAGTTGCATGTTGGATCTTTTCTTCTTCCCGCAAGATTCATTCGATTCCTGCGCGCGCGACAAACGACGAGGGTAATTTTCGAAAACTTTCGAGTATGCCATGTCATTATTGACGAAAGGGAAGAAAACTATATATAAATATGAGAAATTATATTCAAATATAATAGAAAATCATGTGAAAAAAGAAGAAGTACTAAAAATTATTTTCTTTATACAATTTTTCATTTTCTTCATTACTATTAATATTGCCATGACTAGAATTAGTAATTACTAGTTTTAATAATTGTCACTACCAGTAATAGAAGTTGTAATGATACTGTTAGTGATATTAGTAATACTATTAGTAATATTAGCAATAGTAGTACTATCAGTAATAATAATATTAGCAGTTCTAGTAGTAGTATTAGTAGTAGTATTATTAGTACTACTAGTAGTATTAAGTAGTTTTAGTAGTAGTATTAGCAGTGCTAGTATTAGTACTAGTATTAGTATTATAATTCCAAAATAAATATTAAATTAAATATTAGTAGCTCTAGTAGTAGTATTAGTAGTGCTACTAGTAGTATTATTAGTATTTCTAGTAGTAGTATTAGCAGTGCTACTAGCAATACTACTAGTCCTATTAGTATTATAATTATCAGCAATAATTCTAAAATAAATATTAGTAGTTCTAGTAGTAGTATTAGTAGTGCTACTAGTAGTATTATTAGTAGTTCTACCAGTAGTATTTGCAGTGCTCCTAGCAACACTACTAGTCATACTACAATTATAATTATCAGCAATAATACAAAAATAAATAAAAACCCATCGAGAAAAACGGATTTCATTTAATATTTCCTCTTTTTTTTATATTTCAAACAGCAGAAATCAATTAATAATTGTACATGTGTCACACACAGTGTTTGTGTGTCGCGTGTGAAAAATCTAACTTTAATAGCGGCTGGACAGCTCTCATTTAGATTGACTGATAAGCACATTGTGAACGATCATGTTCAAGAAGTGGAAAAAGGAGAACACACAGACAGACTTTTGGGTACGATCGGAGAAAAACGTTTCCTGTAAAGATTCGTGAAGGGTGGTCCAAATAGTCCACAAACTAGAGGTGAAGGGAAAATGGGGGGGGGGGGGTGTCAAGGGTCACTATATGGGGAAGTCAAGATTATCCGGTTGATTCGACCTAAAAAAGAAAAGAGGAGGGGGTGCGAAGAATGTCCACTATTTTCTATACACAACATAACCGAGAGGATTGTTGTTGGTACAATTTTTAGTTTTTCCTTTCTCTCTTTCTTCTTTTATCAAAAGCAAACATCTCTTCGCTGGCTTTTCTCTATTAGTTTCGTGTTGGGAAAAAAAAAATGTTTCTTGTTTCTCTCTATCTCTTAACAGGTAGATTTTTTTCTTGTATTTAGAGAGGGAGAGAGAGAGAGAGAGGGGAGGACGAGATTTTTTTTCTTGTATGTAGAGAGAGAAGAATTTTTTTCTCCTATATAGAGAGAGAGACGAAATTTTTAAGAGAGGAGAGAGAGAAGAAATTTTCCCTTCTTATATGTGCATGGAAAATAAACAGAGCGAGAGAGGAAGAGAGTTTTTAACATTCTTTGACACCTGGGATAGAAATTAAAATATAATCCCTACCTAGAAAGTATCCCGCTAAGAAGACACAGATCTTGATTATTTCTTAACTGAAATGTATGCAAACAAAGCAAAAATAATGTCCATTTTCTTTTTTTCCTGATGGCTAAAAATACCTTTCTACATTTTTCAAAAAGGAAATATTTTTTTTAACCCCCGAGAAGAATGTTGACAGGTAAAATAGTCCACTGCTAGACAATGCTCACTATTAGTAATAAAAAAAACTACAGAAAAAATAGAAAATAATTAAATAATTTCCCTTTTTCTATTCTTTATTTATTAATAATTAATAATTTCCATTTTCCTATCCTTTATTTATTTTTCCTCATTAATTATTAATAAATAAAGGATAGAAAAAGAGAAAAATAAAATAAATAATTACTGTTAAATTAATAATAAAAAATAGTTTATAAAAATTTTAATTAAATGTATTTTACAAAAACTTTTGATAAATATTGGTACACTTTTATGTAAAAACTTTTTTCAAAAAAAGGAATAATGTTTAAATAGTGGAGAAAAATTTTTTCGAAATAAATTTTTCTTCTCTCTTTCGTGCTCGCTTTGTTGTTGTGAATTATTGACGTGGGATAGAAATAATTAATTTGTATAGGATTAATTGGTGTTGGTCCTATCTCGACAGAATCAAGGCGTTTTCCTAATGTGGTTTTACAACGAGGAGAGCTATGCACAGTCATCCTTGCAAGAGAGATATAAGTTTTACAGGGCTGGTTTTGCCCATTCTCAGACCCGACCTGACTGCATCACGCTATATAATACCCACGCGCAATCGGTATTTTGAATCTCTTTTGCGAATCTAGAAGAGAGAGAGCGAGAGAGAGAGAATCACCATTGGCGTGGGTGAGAAATCTTCGCGAGCTGAACCACCAAATATAAATTTTTTTTAAAACCATATTTAAAAAATAATATGGATTAAAATCCATATTGTTAATTTTTTTTAATTATTTTTGAAAATTAAATTTTTTTCTCTTGGTACAATCTTTTTAGAATTACTACGCTACTTACGTATAGCGTAGTAATTCTAAAAAGATTGTACCAAGAAAATTGAGTCACAGACTCAAATCATCATTGAAATCATCATTAAAAGTTTCTACCTTTCAATCATTTTTGGTTTTAACTTTTTAAGATACAAACGGTTTCAGATTTACTAGAATTTTTTTTTTTTTTTAGTGTCAAAAAGGGTGAAAAGACGAAAAAGGGCGAAAAATAAATAAGAACAAAAAGAGAAAATCGCAGGGGGAAAATTACTTGAAATTAAAAATAAGCAATTCCAACTGATAATTTGCCACTTCCATGTGCCATTAATTCATCGAGTAAACACATTACAGTGATCATGTTATATACAAGTCAGCTTGAGAAAACTCGATGATTAATTTCCCCCTCGGTTTAAATATCAAGGAATAATTAGAAATGTTCGTTTCTTCATTCGTTTCAAAGTATACTTACATATAGAAAGAGAAAGAGAAAGAGAGAGAGAGAGAGAGACAGACAGATCTCCCATAAAGCAATCGTAATTATCGTTTTCCATTAATGATTTCGAAGAATTCACGCATATAGATAAATTTTTATAGTTTCTACCAAACACAGCTGGATGTTTCTTCTATTTTTTTTTTCGTTATTCATTTCATTCAAGGGGTGTGAAACTATTTAAAAAATCTTTTCAACTTCCGTTATAATTTCTTTTATTCATCTCGTTTGTCAAAGAGAAAAGAACTATTTCCAAAAAAAGTAGTCATAATATAAAAAAGTAAAATATATTCTCACGATTTTTTGAAATAATAAAAAGAAGAAGAAGGGAAATTTTTTGACCAAATATTCTTGGAAGCAGGTGTGACTAGTTTGGTTATATGGTTAGTTTTTCAAGGAAGGAGAGTAAAAATTTTCATATAGGCGGAGGAGGAGGGGGAAAGAAAGCCTATTCAGTGGAAGAAAAACGCAGGTCACTCTTTTAATGCCAGGTGCATGGATCTTTGGTCGTAAACTTTTGCAGTTGATCACATTGTTGTCTTTCCACTAAATACAACACTCGACTGTCTCTCTCTCTCTCTCTCACGCTCTTTCTCTCTTTTTCTATTTTTCTCTCTTTTTTCCTTTTTTTCCATCATTGTCATGGGGTAAAAATGAGAATTGGACTTTGCCACCAGGCAAAAATGAATTGGTATCGAGAGATGGATCACGGTTATTCAGTGAACAACAAGGTTTCATTGTCAAATGGCAAAAATTTCACAGGGTCTATTGCATACGATCCTTGTGGGATTCTGGGCCTCTTATTAGAAGCCGGTATACTTATTGTATTTTCCAAATGTCCATTGCAAAGCAACAAATCCCTAATTTTTCCAGCAGGTATACGACACCTAACCTAATCTTGTCCAAATACTTCTTTTTTTTTCTCTCTTACACCAAACTCTCATTATCGTCGAAATCTCGTTTTTCAAGTATTTTTTTTACAAACCCGAAAAAGTTCTAATCTTTTCTCTTCATCCACTCAAGAGAGAAAACAATTTTCCATTTTTCAAAAAATATTATTGGTTTTTTCAAAAAAAAAATAAAAATGCTAAAATTTAGAATATAAAATATAAAAAATACTAAAATGATAAAATTTGATTGAAAATTATCATCTATTTTGGAGGGAAAGAAAAAATAATGTTAAAAACTATTAAGTGGAATATGAATTTAAGTTTCAAATCAAAAGGAATAAAACTCAGTTTTAATGATAGCTTTGGAAAATAATTCCATTTTCCAGGTGGAAAAAAAAGAACAGAAGGGAATATCGGCGAAATATAATTCTTATTGAGGAAACAATTACATAGGTCAATCCCTTGATTTTCAAGTGAATGAATAATAAATGCTTGAAAATCTCTCCATGGTGAATAATTAAAGGCCGATTCGATAAAGTTGAGTGTGTAATTATAATCAAACCGCACAATTTTCCCGCTAATTAATACATAAGAATTACAAAAATTAAACTCTTTCCCTCAATCTCGTATTTTTCACCCCAATAAAAACCTGATAAACCTATTTTCTAGTCCATAGGGACAATTATTATAATAAAATTATTAAATACACAATTTATTATTATTAAGCCTTTCGGTATTAATAT